GGCTAGGTTGTGCTCCTTCCTTCAAGCCTGCCACTTCATTTTTTTTCAGCTCCAACTCCTCAAGACAACAGGAAAGCAGCACTTGAATTGCGCTTGTCACAGTAACCTAGAGACCCTGGTGGGTGTAAAGGCTATTGCAAAGCAGTTTGGTTGGACCCTGTGGTATGAGGCAACGCTGACCTTATGGGACCTTTCCTCCTGGGAACTGGCAGTGAGAATATCCAGCTTTGCAAGTTGGACCCTCTTCCCTGGTAACAGGCAAACACGATGCGAGCTCTTTCCTCCAAACCAGGAAAAAAGAATGATGTTATTTCCTATGCTCGGCTCTGGGAGAACTACATAGCGACACCAAATCATAGCAGCAGAAACGAGAAACACTTAAGTTATTTACTAATATTTTATTTAAAAAATGATTACAAAATATTTTAGAACTTTCTTAAGACCAAAAAAGCATAATGCATTAAAAATGACCACAGGTTTAGAATGGAAAACATATTTAAGTATTTCGTAATTATTTAAATGGAAATTCAAGGCAACAAAACTGTATAAAATTTTTATTTTATATATATAAAACTACTGTATTATCATCCTGATTTAATAATCATTAAAGGTCACTTAAATTCTCAAAGGTATTAAAAGCGATAAATAGTTCTGAACAGCATAAAATTTAGTATCTACAGACCTGCTTACGTTTACAGCAATAGACTAAACCAAAGATGAACTTCCATCTTAAAAAGCACTACCAGCATCTTGATTCATTACAATTTTATATAACCTTTAAAAAATTACACAAAGTATTTATTTCCCTTCAGTGTAGAAAGCTTGGTATTTTTATTGCACAAATTTAAATGAGGATCACCATGATGGCCATTATGCAAAAACGTCTTGTAAAGAGCTCTGAGAACTGTGGGCGATGATAGCTCACTGCTTGTTCAAGTTGGAGGGTGCAAAGGTAGAACTCGATTCTAACAGACCACAACCCTTCCCTGCTATTTTTAAGCGCAGAGCGCAAGCAGTAAGGCACAATTCCGTCACAGATTTAGAAGACAAAGGGCACTGGTAGCATTGTGATTTTAGCGTGGGCTCAACGCCAGAAGCAAAAAGTAACATTCACAATCTCCGTAATGCACGCGTAGGTTTTCAGAGCAGAAACTCACAGTCCAGCCACTTAACAGCAAGTCCTCACATGTCCTGGAGAATCCTCTGCACCGATTCTCAAGGCACCGTAAACAAAGCCTGAAAGCGGGTGCAGAGCCTTTAAGTATTTTTTTGGACGGGCTCAACTGGAAAAGCTCAATGCTTTTAATGCGTCTGAGCAGGCTCGCAACACGACTGCCAAGCACCATGGTGAAGAAGGGAGAAGACAATCCCCAGGCAGACGTACTGGGCCAGTTGCTTCTTTCCACAGGTGTTACTACCAGTTAAGATGCTACAGAGATGGTTGCTTTGCAAACAGATGAAGAAATTTAAGACAGTTGCTTGTAACAGCACTTCTGCCAGAGCTCCCACCACTCTCCTGAACAACCCCTAATCCACTTCAGTCAAAATCAGCTAACTTAATGTAAGTAATTTAAAGAGCTGGTTTAAATAAAGCAGGCTGATTTCATCAGAAGCAGGCTGGGAAACAAGCAGACCGCTTTGCTGACAGCACGGGAGAGGTAAGAGACATCCAGCCACGCGCGCAGAGCTCCTGCAAAAACAGATGTTTAATCCAGCTCCAGCGCCTTTCTCTGGGATCAGTCTAATTAAAAGACAAGACACTCAAAGCCTGGATCCGACACCAGAAGCATCGAAGCAGGTATGTCAAGACTGCAGGAGACCAGTCTGCTCAGCCGTGGCAGCGAGCAAGTCTCTCCCCGCACCTAGCCTGGGAGGGCAGAGAAGCTGGGAGGGACACACACCTGCCCCTTTATCTTAGGAAGCTGATGAAGCTTAAGGAACCAACCTTGCAGAAGCAGAGAACACCATGCACACTAGCAAACCTGCCTCTCAACTATTTTAAAACAGAACAAAAAGAACACCTGGTGCGTAGAAGCCTAGGATTAATAGTACCACCGTGCAGACACTGCTTCGTTAGGCAACAGCTGGTTTGGGAGCAACAATTCAGGAACTGCCTTAAACCTATCACCAGTATGTGACTTGTCTGCTTGTAGTATTTAACTACTACGTGACAGATTAATGCCAGCTAAACAGTATCTGGAATGGAGCAATAGGTATTGTGAAGAATAGCAGGACTTTTCCTATTAGCAAGCTTCTATGACATATGGGAAAACAACTAACCAGTTTCCCCGAAGACGACCGTTTGTCCTTTTCATTAGCGACGGCAACGCTTGCGTCCCTTTCAGTCAGAGATGGAATCTGATCCTCAGAGCTACACAGAGATCAGCCAGTGGGTGAGAGAATGGGTACAAACTACCTGCTTGGAACACCAAAATGAAAACGAAAAACACGTCAAAACCCCCTCGCTAACAACCCAAAACACACCAGGGATGCCAGCATGTATCATAGCGTCATAGTAGAATCCATCAAACCGTTCTGCAAAGGTTGGCAGTATTTGTTTCAAAAGGCCTAACAGTCAGACCATGGGAGGCAGGAGATCTCAGTCAGAGCCACCTTCTTCTGACACCACCTCCTTGTGGCACCTTTTCATGAAAATAACTCGCTCTGTATTTCGGTTCTCTGTGAAGTATCAGCAGGAGGTAGCATGGACAGGGAGGCCAAGGCAGAGAGAGAACTTTACAGACCCTTCTCAGTACCGCTATCTCCAATTCAGGAACGGACACCAATAACAAAGCACTTAGGTGGGGAAAAGTCTATAGAAAAAGGAACCAAACCCCAGAACTCTCTTCATGTATTTTCAAGCTGAGAAAAATTACAAGAAAAATGACCTCAAGATAAAAGTCCCATCATGGTGCTGCGTTGCTTAATAAATATCAGCAGTGCAGTGTTACTCTTACGCTATATTTACAGCTTTTAATTAGAGATCAAGATTTAGAGACTACAGGCATTTTGATGTGAAAACAAATTGAGTAGAAGCCTGGGCAATAAAAAACAAAAAAAAAAATCCCTCGGAATGTTAATCATAGATACGGAGACAATCCCCAAAGTAAGACACTGCAAATCATAGCAGAGAGATTTCTCATTAAGGCAAGTTTCGTATCACCAGTAACACTGCTTGTAAACAAAACATCTCTAATCTACCCAGTTTTCAGAGACAGCTACAGCAAGCTCTGTACACCTAGACTGAGATCAGGTTTTAGTGCAAATGGACACTTAATAAATACAAGGAACAAAAAGGCAGTCCAAAGAGCATTTTCTTCTTCACAAAGCAGAAAATTCTGTGAAAGAAAGTATTGTATGCATGGCTCTGAAAACAAGCTACAGCTTAAGCTTGACGTTTCACACCACCTGTCAAAATTTTACATCCTCCAAGCTAAGTGTAGTGTTAGACTTAAGTCTCAGAGCTTAGAGAGAGAACATCACAAACTCACATTCATCAGAAAGCGGCAGCATTGGAAAAAACCTCTGACGTTCTTTTACGGTCCTTTGTCTTACGACAGCTTCCTCATCCTTTTCCAAATACAGCTTGCTCAGCCAATTTCTGGAGGGCTTATCTTAATGCTGCCACAACAGGTTACAGGACTATAAATTTCTCAGACTAGGGTATTGATGAAATAGAGTTAATGCCTGGAAGACACGGCAGATGTCACGAGCACCCAAACAAGAACTGTTTTTGCATAATCAGCGTTTTCTCATTTGCTTTGGTATTTTGGAACATCTCCTGGCTTACAGCAATTTGCTCTACTTTTGAAGGCTTTCCTTTTAAGTGAGGTCTAGGAGTCTTGCTTCTGCCTCTGACCTCTGAAAAAATGCCTCTTCACCACTTCATTTCTTTTACAGCCGTCAACATCTGCTCTGGTATGACCGTCGCTTGTCTGATATATGTTGCATCAGTAGTGTTTCTTGCAGTCCTACAGCCTGTCGCTTTTAAGACAAATCAAGGCTACAAGTGCTTATTTACCTGTTTACCAACTGACCTAGTCAGCAGCAAGAAGTCTCAAGCTAGTGCCATATTTATAAACAAAGAAAATGGTGGGGTTCATAACCATTCTGGCAAAACTTACCATTTACTATGCATAAACAAGCTGCATATGGTATTAACCTTGCAAGTAATATTCACCAGGATAGTACCAACGTGCTGTAACTTTTTTCCCCATTGATGTTCAGATTGCCGCTTTTTGCGTTACTTCGTGAAAACATTTAATTCTTCATCTTTTTCCTCTCACAGCTGGCTTTTCAAGTTTCTTCCTGCAACTCTTATAGCTTTCAAAACAATCTGAAAGAAGATTCTGGCATACAAGTCCAAACTTTGACGACCACGGGGTGCAAAACTGTCTCCTTAATATACCGTTACATTGCCCTCCCCATAAAACCCGTATGCTCGCTATTCCCTTGAACTGGTCTCCACAGACAGAACTGAGACACATGAATAGTAAAAACAAAACAAACCCCCTTATGTAAGGACAAGCATTTCTGTAAGGCTCCAATCAGGTATCCCTTTTACATTCGGTTTGACCAGTAAGTACAAGAACAAATTCTGCTGTACTAATTTGTAACTCGGAACAGAAATATCTGGTCCATTTATACAGCAAATATCTTTAGGGAATAGCTCAGAGTTTATCATCACACATTAACCTTTATTAGTCACCTCTGTCAAAAATCAAATCAGCACACTGTTGTCCTTACGTTATTCTATTTAGACACAAGATTTTTTAGTGTCTGTCACCTGGACAGGTGGCAGGACCAGTTATTAAGCAGGACCAGTTACCTTAGAACACGATGCTCAAGATGCCATTACTTGACCTAAGGGTCTATAAAAATTTGTGATGAGCAATGCGTACAAAATTGATTAGAAGGAAGGGACAGAAGTTGTTACCTACGGTGCACTGAAAGTTCATTTTAGTTTGCTCCATTCAAAAAAAAGAAATAATTCGAGAAAGTTAGCTTTGTTTATTCAGTGGCCGACTTTCTGTGGCGCTCTGAGCGTGGCCGGGATTTTCAGGGCATCGGTCGACGTTTTGTTTCCGACAATAATACTCTACAATAATTTCAGCTAAAAATGCGCCACTTGCAAGAAATCCAAACACCTGTGAGAGTGAAAGGAATACATGATTTTAAAATGTACAAACATTAACAGTATTCTAACATTGTTTGGAGAGATTTGCTGGACTATTTACATACATTAATAACGCTTATACATTAAGATTACAGTCCTCCTTAAATCGGTCGTTCCATTTAAATTAGAAACAGATCAGAAACCATAATTCTAGCACATTTAATGCAAAAGTTTTTACAGTTCTCATTCTCTTAATCAAGTTTGAACCGTGCAATATGTTCTAAACAGCCCTTAATAGTAAAAGTATACTCATTTTGTTGCAGAAATGAGTTATTCAAGCAGCATGGCATTGCTGGTATAGCAGAGTATTTATCCAAGAGATGGCTGCTGATTCAAGGGATAAGTGAAGAAGAGTAACACATGGAAGGCGAAGGGAGAGATCTGCAGAGCCTAAGCATGTCCTTACCAGGTCAGCAAGGGGGGATGAAATGACATTTCGTTAATGACATTTCAGTCATGGTATGATAGTGATAAGGAGAAGGCTGCTTTCAGCAGCTTCTTTCAAACAAGGAAACACATGCATTATTCTAACTTTCACCTGAATTTTACACAACTGTTTGCCCCAAAGCAATTTGACACTAGTAAGTCTCAAAGCACAATAGTTTTTGTTTTTCCAGCGCCAGAAAAAAAAAAACGGAAAGACTTCGTACTCAAACCATTAGGTTTGAATAGATCAACATCGCAGAAGATGATTACACAAAAGCGTGTACCTCTAATAGCTTGTGCTGCTTGTGGAACAGAACTATTTTGCTTCCTTTTCTAACTCATTTTTTCTCATTCAAGAATAAAATCAAAATTTGATCTTTTAAACTCACATATTCACAATTCCCAAGTTATTCTAAAGAAGTGCCAAAGGAGTGAGGAATTACGACACCCACAGCATCCCAAAGTCTCTTCAGTGCCTTGCCCTGAGCCTCTTCAGTGTTCCCTGGGAGATCCATGCCCTGTTGCTCTTCTAACTATTTCTGTCACTGAGGAAACTGCTGCTCTTACTGCAGCCTTTGCAAGTCAACATTCTCCACGTATGCTTTATAACGCCTGGCAAAAGACACGGTTTCTTGCTGACTTTGTGAGGGGGTGGCATTATGAATGGACAATTGAGGAAAAAAGTAGGCATTTCAGAGAGAGGCTATCAGAGAACTGGGGAAGCTGTGAGAGAGGGCAACGTCGAAACAGTGACAGATGACAGGGAATAATACGGAGCCAAGGCAGTGAAGTCTGAGGAACCCAGAAGCAAGCCGACAACGCTGGCGAGCTGCAAGTGCACGCAGAGCCTACCAGCAATCCTGAGGAATGCCTGCTCTTTGGATTTCCTACAGTAAATTTCTGGAAGGTCTGAAATAGGTAATTCCTCCTGAAACATCTCGCAATGCACTGAATTCTGTTCCCTGCCCAGTTTCTTCCCTGCAAACTGAGTGAGGTTTAGAGGGCGAAGAAATGAACATACAAGATAACTGCAAAGTAAATTATGCAATTTTAAGACTTACACATGCAGCACTTTCAACAGCAGACCCAGAGCTGGTCGCAGCAAGCACTACTGATGCTAACAGAAAAAAGGCACCTATGGCTGGCATGGCAAAAAGATTCTGCAAATATAAAAAAAAAGAATGTTATAGAATTGTAGATATACTACTGGAAAAAGAACAAGCATCGTAACAGCAGCTGAGTTAATCTGCCAGTGAATTTATGCTTTGAAACTTCGATGCTAATGGGAGCTTCAGAACATACATTCTACAACTATATTCCAAACAACATTCAACATTATCAACTATTTAAGAGAGTCTGCATTACATACTCCCCTGGTTTTGTCTTCTTTAAGTATTTTATTCATTTCATCTAACTTCTTTCACAATCAAATTCTGACTCAGGTCAACCATGCTAGCATTATTCCCTATGTAAAACATCTAGGAAACCAGAAACCAGTAAATAAACGTGCTCATTCAAATCTCTTGCTACACTCCCTCATCTGTACCTTCACGTAAAAAACCCGACTGTTTGGCTCTGAAGACAAATAGGAAGGGTCGCTCAAAAGACGCTATAATATTCTCACTGACTTTACAGAGCAATTTTGTGCCACTGCTGGATCTTCTGAAATATAAAAGCAGGAACTGTAACAAGTATGATTATTACCAATAAGGAGGTAGGCTACACCCAGTAGGAAAACAGATAGGGTAAACAGGCAAGTTGCAAGCATCATGCCGGCAGTAAACTGTGTTCCGTATATGTACATATATGCGACAACTATGCAGTAGTATTAGTCTGTGTGAAAGACTTTCACACAAATCCCAAAATCCTGCAGGTAACCAACATGACAATTTTGGAAAAGTTGTCAATATAAAAGGGACTCTCAAAGTCGACTCATTTTTTTTAAACTACAAGCTACTTTAATCTACCCTTTAAACAGAGAAGAAAAGCAGATTCATTCTGCGTAGCCTTTTTACTCCACAGTAGTCTTTAAGCGCTTACAAGAAATGGTTTGTTTTAAAAAAAAAAAACCAAAACTTCCCTTACCGCTTTCTGTACTTTATCTTCCCCAAGTGTTTCATATGCACCAGTGCAATACACACACAGGATCAGGAGGCTCAGAAGAAAGGCACTGCAGCTTACGAATTCAAAGAAGTAAAGTCCGCCACACTTGATACAATCCTCCACAATTTCTTCACAAATAACAGCCAGAAGAGAGAGAATCTGCAAACAAGTAACATCCTTGAGTTGGATCAAGTCTCTAAATCTTCAGCAAACAGACGTCTCCGATATGAACATTAATAAAGACAGCTGTAAGGAAAATCCTCAATCTACATAGAACTCGGAAAAATTCTGCACTATTTTGTTAGAGGCAGAAATAATTATATAGTGACACGGTTTACACTTGCTGTTAAAGTTGGACAATAAACTACACTCAGGTAAGCTGAGCACCCGCTGCCAAACACAGGCTGCTGGATTAGACAGTCAAGATTCCTGATTTGTGGTTTTGTGCGATTGCCAGTTGGAAGCAGACGAGGCAGGCAGCGTGGCCAGCGCACAGCCCGCTCAGAACGAGCGAAAATGCCATTGCTTACTACTTGCAACTGCACTTCATTTTAAATGCATTTAGGTTCAGGGTGGAGGGGGAAATTGGATGGCACCGACACAGTCAGCTACCTCCCTGAAAGTTTACAGCCGACGTTACCTCCCTTGATAAACTTCAGAGAAAGTGCATGTAGCTAATCGCTCATGTGCTTGTGACCCAGTAAGGACAGAAGCTCAGCTGTACTTGTAGGAACCAAAACCTTAAACTATGTTTAAGCCATGTTGGACACTGTTTGATTTATGCAGAAGCTCATGTTCACCTTCCTGCCACAGTACGTTTTGAGGAAAGAACATGAGTTAATTCCTGTACAGTCACCATACATCTGCTGCTGGACGTTCTGCTATTTTACTGTACAAGAAAGAATATTGCTTTATTTAAATGTTCTCTCATTTTGGCCACTTCTTGCTAGTTTCCTTCATCCCATAAAGCTGACACAGGATTACAGATCCTTGCAGTAAGGAGTTCGCCAAATTAAAACAAAACCATTGAGGTCCCTTGAATCAGACTCGGCCATAAAATTGAGACTGATATAAGGATGATGACCCTATTTTTAATAAAAATTCTAAAATTCAGAATTGTTATTTTCCCGTTATTAGCGACTGCAGATGCTTCATCTGCACCTTATTCTTGGAAAACAACCACCAGCCTTCGGTTTCAGTTTTCTGACAGTAAAAATAAAAACAGCAATTTAGCATGTGCGAACTATAAATTCCCCCCACTATGCCAGACCTCAGAAGGAAACTTCAAAGCCTTATGTTTTGAATATTCTGCAATCATATAAAGTAAACAGGATCTCAGAAAGGCGAAGAACCGGAGCTGCGAAACTGCAGTATTACTATCAGGCCTCCACATACTTCCCTTCTCTCCCGCAGCGGCCGGCAAGGCAAACTTCTCAGCAGCCCTCACACCTAAAAAAGTCACTACAAGGGCTGTCCAAGGAATGTTTTCAACTCTCAATTTCCAATTTTTAAGGTTTTTGCTTTGTTTTGTTTTGTTTCATTTCAAAAGATTTGCTTACAGCTGCAGCCAATGACTTTCAATTTCACATTTTTCACAGGGTCAGCTGAAGTGTGAGATACGTTTTCATGTATCGTTCTAGCTCTTTTTATCAGCACTGAAAACTGAATGCCATCATTTTCACCTGGGATGAAACAGAACAGAAAGGAAATAAACCTGCCCTTAAAAGAATTTGTAAGCCCAGATAACCCTATGATGACCTAAATAACTGAAAAAAAACCCTCTCCGCTGAGTGTACAAACAACTAGGAAAAAAATCCCACTCAGAGAGTAGCTATAAAGGGTTCAGTGTCAAATAAATGAGATTTACCAAGTGGAGTCCCATATGGGACTTGTCCAAGTCACTATTCAATTTTTTTATTAATAAGCTGAATAACAAAATAAAGTACATTGTTACAAAAGCTTTAGCTTGTGGAACTTTGATTAAAGTAATGTATCAGCAGCACATTTATAAGCTGCCAGAGAGTTCTGCTTGGGTTTAACTTGCTTCTTGATATCACTATGAGAAACAAAAGGGATTACTCTGTTGTCCTACTACAAAAGAACAGTAGTTTTAAATACCACTTTATACAGTTACAGCTATATAACATAGCAAGAAGTTTTTTCTACTACTAGCCAGAAGATTATCATCTCTATTATTCATCTGCATTTTAGTAACATCCCACTACTAGATACAGTACAAACACATGAGCCGCTTTAAACAAGCCGGGAGATTCCACATTTCATTCAGTTTCCCAAGACCTGTTCTGCCGGAGATCCACCTTCGTCCATCAGCGTTAGTCCTGGGATGAGTGCAAACCTCTACAGGTTTACATGAAGCAGCCAAAGCTCCTTCTGTTTTGTTTTTATATCTGCCTCCTCCACACGGATCCCATGGAGAATCCCTAGCAGCCGATGCCCAGAACATCACTACTGCTTTTGTTTGAGCCGCCAATAACAAGCGGAGAGGTAGCTCCTCATTTTCTTGAGAGCTAAACCTTCCAGGCAGATTTTCTTTCACCCTGAAGCCCAGGGTAACACCTGAAGAGACAAGCAGGCAGCCACCGCCACCGGCCTTCCCTCTCGCCCAGAGCCCTGCACCGCTGCAGGGAGGCAGCGGCGACCCGGCAGGCAGGGCACGGCACGGCGGGAAAACCCGCACCTCGCACCTCGCCATATGCGTACGCTGCTTGCCTTCCTCTGTGCTGTAAAGGCAAAAGCAGCGTCGGAAATGCAGTTTTTAACTTCTTTTGCTTTTTAATTTTTAGCCCTATCTGTCTATACGTACACCAGAACTTAAACATCTTCATCTGTCCCTTACCAGCAAGAAGTTATTCATTGATACTGAAATTACTGTTGGAAGTTTCTACACACGTGTCAAGTTTCTAGATTTAGTAAGTGAAAAGGCTACAATAGAATGCTACAAAAATAAAGCAGACCAATGAACTTTCCAACAGGCCTGTGAAAATGCTCAGCAGTGGCATTCCCGATACAAATCTTCTAGTTCAGATGGGTGCGCATATTAATTCTGTCAGTCGCCCCAGTCAGGGCTGCTCTAGGAAGTGAACAGCTCAGAAAAATAACAGATTTTTAAGACTGAATCACCATTTTCCTTTCCAGTTTGGGCACTTTTGTTCAAGTCAAACAATAGTTGATGACAACTATTTCTGCTTTAGATAAGAATTTGTTGCTACCTCAGTCTTGGCACAATATGCGCCGTGCCGCTTACCCTTGCACAGAATTTGAACCAGTCATGGACTAACAAAAACGTTCCACCTATATAAAAAATAATAATAATAAAAAAAAAATCTCAAAAACCCTGCAATAAGCATGCCTCCCAGCATCCTTTTGGCAGTTACATTTTCCTTATTTCATTTGCCCAAAAAGCTTTAACGAGGCAGGCTAATATTACAATGTACGCCATTATTAATCAGAAGAAAAGCATTTCTGAGGTCTAGAAACCAGTTTTCTGCAGGTGATTTCAGTGTTTTGTAAAATACTCGATCACTTCTATGATGAAGACAGCTGATTTTCCAAGCGCGATACCCTGTTTAGCAGTCCACGCGAGCGATTATCAGTGCGTAATCCCAGTAACACCTCACAGTCACTACTGTAACACAAGGCTAGTAGATGTTAGTGACCGTCACCATCGCTGGCGTTTCCAAAAATCAACACTTTCCCAAAAGAGGAACATTTCTCTTACTGGTGATACCGAGGCTTCCACCTTCAGTAATTTCTGGGGCTTGTTTAAAGCGTTTTGAGCAACAACTCTGAGATCTGTGCGTTTTGGTACAGGGAAACAAAAAGGGGGGAAAAAACTGCTGGAAATTAGGAGGGTGAACAGCTATTCCATTTTCTTTTTTCTCTTGTTGAAAGACAGGTACAGGCCATAAATTCTTTAGAAGCACATCAAGCAGCTATCCATCCTGTTTAGGATAATCATAATTTTCCTTTTTCCTACCCAGAAAGCTTTTTAAATAATGCATCTGTTCAGGTAAACAGTTTAAGACTTTGGTACACCAGTAAATTTGCATATGTAATGGTTTATTTTAGTCCATGAAACCACTTATATAAATGATCTGCTTGTTTGGGAGCAACAGGCAGCAGATCTTACTTTATTAATCTCCAGTAGATGAAGTAAAAGTTTATGTTCTATTATATTTGTTTATTTAAAGCACTCTTGGGTATGATTTTTTTAAACACTCTTAGGAAACACCATTTTTGGCAGCATTACCGTTATCTGTACCAGCACTCAAGAATCTTACATTTATGGTGGAAGGGTTTTTTGACCGTGTGCGAGACAAAGTTTAAAAACCAAATGTCCTCTTTTCTGCAATAGTGAAGTAATGAGAAAGGGCTGGAAACCACCTACAATTCCCGTGAGCGTGAGACATCTGACTAAAAAGCCACTTTGTTGGCCGGAAAATGTACTCTGACACACATTTACAGTCAGCTGCCTTTCCCCACTTTCATTTTCACTACCTCCCTGCCAGCACTTAAAAATGAAGCTGCTCCCGTCCTCATCAGCACAGTCCCACTGGCATTTCGGAAGATTTTTTTTGTAGCCAAGCGCAGAACAAGCAGGAATCTGAATCAGGCGCCCGGCTGCTGAATGCGTTCAGGAATAACATTAGACGTGGCAAAAGGCAAGCAGAATATAAGCCTTTTATGTCCTGGTGGGCACAGGACCGCCCAGCATGAAGTGATGCACCGCAATGTCTGATACAACAGGCCACCACCAACACACACTGCATGTTTCTGGTACAATTTTCTCCCATGGATCATGGGAGAAATGAGATTTTCGCAGCGTGATACGCTTACAAACGGGCTGCAGGGCGGCAGGAGAGGGAGGTCTGGATCTGATGACCCAGCGAAAGCTTCCCAGTTCTGCTGCCCTACCCTGAGGGTCAACCTCAGGCTTCTACCTCCTGCTTTCATCCAACGCGGCCCTGAGAAGAAAATACCGAGTTCCCTGTCAGGTTTCCCTCTGGTTTTAAACCTCAACGAACCACGGCACCTCGGCTGCACGACTCGCACAACCACCCGATGTCAGCACCTGCCCCCGTAGCTAGAACACGAAAAAGGAACAAGCCTGTTACTTCCCCACCATAACACAATCCCAACCCGCCGAGACGGCGGCATCATAAGGCACCACCTCTGCTTTCCAGCCGAGTCACAACTCTGCAAAGCTTTAGTGACCAAGAGCAAAGCCGGGCTTTGCCGCTGCTACGCCTGAAGCCGGGCCTTCTGGTGGAGCCTCCGCTTTGCCGGTGAAGAGTTTAATTTCTAAGCGGCGGGGGTTGTCCTAAGGCCGGCGGCCATGGCACCGCGCTCCCTTCCATACCCAAAGCCGCCC